TTTTTATAAAAACCGTCGTCTATTGTATGTAAAGATGACGCTTTATATAAAAGCGTCGTCTATTATACGTAAAGATGACGTTTTTTATAAAAAAAAATTGTCGTCTATTGTACGTAAAGATGACGCTTTTTATAAAAAAAATCGTCGTCTATTGTAGCAAAGATGACGCTTTTTATAAAAAAAACCGTCGTCTATTGTACATAAAGATGACGCCTTTTATAAAAAATCATCGTCTATTGTATGTAAAGATGACGCTTTTTATAAAAAAAGGTCGTCTATTGTATGTAAAGATGACGTCTTTATAAACAATCCACGATGGTTTTCATAAAAAAATCGTCATCTTTACATACCATACACGACAGTTTTATTAAAAATAGTCATCTTTCCTCCTATAATTAACGATCTTTACCTCTAAACAACGACGATTTTCTTTAAAACCGTCATCTTTACTGATAAACAACGACGGTGAAAAGCCGTCGTAGTTTGAAACTCAAATAGACGGCAGTCGATTTCACGACCGGGCAAAAACCTTTTACACGACGGTGGTTTTCCCGTCGTCTATTTCGATTTTTGTAGTAGTGTTCCAAATAGCTTGTTCTGCTCGATAAAGTATCTATTAACTCCTTTTAAGTGAAAATGTCGGTCTCGATCTAGTTTCATCTCGTAAACATAATCATTGAATGACCAATCTCTAAAACATGAACTCTTTAATGACAACTTGATAAATAGTTTCCTTTAATATGCTTAGAGCCCTTAATGGCTCCAAACGATCGGAAGTTGATCTCTAATCATTGGAATCCTCACAGTTATCTATAAGATGATTTTCAGCCCTAAGATAAGTCCGGCCTTAGCCTCAGCTAACATAATGATCAACGGTGCAAATTTCTGCACTAAGTTTTACTTAATCCTATCTTCGGTCTCAATTGTCACAAACGTTCGGTTCTTTATCATTTTCTTGGATTTTAGATATATTTGATGAATTCAACGTCGTCTCTTTTTATGGGAGCAAAGTCTTGGGTAATTAGAAATACCCTAGAATACTCAATAGTAACCAGCTTGCGGTAGCTTTGCACACATACCAGCAAGGTTTGTTTTAATCAATTTATAGGCGAAACTGAAGATTCCTAAAGGACAATTTGGAAAAACAAGAGGCTTCACTCCCTCTAACGTTAGGCGTTTTGGTAAAACATCTCTAGCGCAGGTTTCCTCCACCAAGACCTGTTCTGCACTTTACCTACCACTCTTGGCTCCATCCTTATTTGCATGGAACGATGTGTCAATTTTGGCTTTGCTCCAATAGGCTTCACTTAGTGTTTAGTACTTTTTTTTGTTGGTATGTTACTCGATGTAGGTTTTTTTTTTTTTTTTTTTTTTTTTTTTTTTTTTGTGTTTTTTCCCTTTTTTGGTTTTTTTTTTTTTTTTTTTTTTTTTTGTATCTTATAAAGATGATGTTGATTGTAGCTTCATCCTAGCACCCAAAAAAAAAAAAAAAAGGTTTGATTTTGTGTATGGTGCTATGTTTCTTAATAGCTTGTATTAGTATATCTATATACAACAGTAGTGTCAACTCTAGCATGGCCCCAACATAGAATTAAGTTGCTTCTCCCACTATAGTCCCAATTAGATACAATATTACTGTTTATGTCACTTTTAGCTTGGCATAGAGTAATTGTCACCCCCTGACATTTGCTATGAACTCCCCCTTGAGATTTACTCAAGCCATAAACTACTCAAAGAGGCACTAATTATCTCTTTCATGTGTAAAACCACGATTTCCAAATAGCTTGTTCTGCTCGATAGGAAAGTACTGATTGTAGTTGCTCAAATTGTTCCTTGATCACCATGTTTGCAACTTCACCCTTATGGTGTTTCACGATGTCCCAGTACCACCATTTGTCAATTTCATCCTCCAACATGTGGGTTGTTATATTCCTATTTAGATCGGTGCACTAGATACTAAGTTATATCAGGTGTGATAAGAGTTTCAATTAGGTTATACCTTAAGGCTCAAAATTTTGTGACATAAGGAAAGTTTTGAAGCCAATTAAAAGGGTCCTATTTATTTCCTTTTGTGTGAACTGTTGCTTGATGGGCTTAGAATGTTAGTCAAGTTGGCTCTCGGTGATGAGTAGAGACGACTTGACCTAGCCTTGTATAAGCTTAAGACCCTGCTTTCGTCAAATATGTTCTCTAACCCTAATCTCAGTTTCTAAGAGAGAGGCTGCGATTGGATGAATCCAGATATTGTGTACTCAAGGAAGATGACGCGAGGGATATCTTTTATATATTTCAGGATGTGTGAAAGATCATGAACTTATAAAGAAAATCTAACATGGGTCGCTAACCAGGCATGATACTTCGGTGGAGAATTGATATTCCAAGTTGGTTTGCATATGCTTAATCCAAACCTATGCCTGAGAACTTCCATTTCATCTCCTCAGTTTCATAAATCGGTCCAAATATCGACCCTCACACTATTGTTCTTCCCTTGCTCACTTTGTTGGTTTCCAAGTGTTTGATTACCAGCATTCTTATTCCCTTCCATCATAACCATTGTAACTTCCACAATCACAACCAAATGTTGCGAAATGATTTGATTGTTGCTTGGTTGAACACATGTTTATCGGCAAGGATTCATCTTGTTTACAATTGAGGAACTAAAATATAAGGTAAGACTCAATGAGTAGTTTGAAGATATGACATTCAAGAATTTCTAGAACAACAAACCTTTAGAAGGAAATTCAGATGAAAGTAGAGAATGCCCAGAAGAGTTAGACTTACAAGGAATGTAATTACTGGCGGACCTAGAAATTTTTTAGCGGAGGTGCAATATTGACTAAGTATGAAAAATGGTTTTTTGGAATAATCATTTTCTCAAGATAATTTTTGGCGGCTTTTATTCCTTACACATCAAATAAGAAAACTTGATTTTATGGGATTTTAGTATGAAGTATATATTGACTTAATGAGCCATCATTTTTAGCCTAAATCTTATTTTGCACTAAAACCGAATTTTCATATTTTGATTTGGTGGGAATTTGATTTTCTAGTATTTTTATTTGAATCCAAATGGGGGGTACTTCCTTATTTACATTGTAAACTTAAGTAAATGGAGTAATATAAAAATAAATAAAAGTAAAAGGACAAAGACATTTACTTAAATGTTGAAAATGAAAATAAGGTAATATGTACACCACTTGAGCAAAGGGGCAATTTGAAGCACCTACAATGATTTTTCCGGCGAAAGGAGGTGCAGCTGCACCTCTTTTTGCCTTACTAGATTCGCCAGTGAATGTAATGATCGAGATCTAAAACCTAAGAAGGAAATTCAAATAAATTGAGGATTTTAACACATCTTAAAGTTGAATTTTCCGAAGAATGTTTTACTTTCGAAAATCTTTAAAAATGCTATGATACAATATTTTCTATTATGTCCCACAAAATGCTACAGACTCAATTTCACCAAATGACCTAAAAAAAATTCCAAATATTTTTCTAACACTTCCAATAAATTATAACCTCCAAATAATTCAACTTTATTTCCAAAACATTTCAAAGTCACTAAAAACTCCCATTTTTCACCACTTTGAGCTCAAAATATATTTTTTAAGTACTTCCAATAAATTAAAATAACCTCCAAATGATTCAACTTAATATGCAAAAAAATTCGAAGTTACTAAAAACCCCAATCTTTCACCAGCCCAAAATTTTATTTTTCACATAGTTGGCACCAATAAAAAATGCAAAAATGTACAGGGTTTCTGAAGGAAGTAGAGGTTCCAACACAAAAATTATTTGGCAATTGACGGAGTGAACGAATTCCTTATAAAGTCCTTGCAAGGTTTCTTAACTTTCTATTGTAGTGTTTTAGTAAGTATGATTATTACGTACTGATACGAGGGAGTTTTCCTCAAATTCCTTTTTTACAAAAAATTATTGTGTCATGGTAACATTAGTGCCAAACTTAAAGAAAGGAAAAACGTAAGAAAAAAGGAAGGAAAATGTTGGGCACAAAAGCCTCGGCCTAAATTCGACTTGAAGCCCAACCCAAAAAACCACCCTTTTCCAGCATGATTCAATTTGAAAGTGGCCAACCCAACAAAATTGGCCCTATTTGATTTGACCCTTGATCCGACCCAACCTAGAATCCTAAAAATTTCTGTGGTGAGGGTAAGCAAAATTGGTATCAATGATATGCGCACGGTGATATTTCGATCATTTGGGGGAAAATAATTATCATTTCAAAGGACTTGCTAAAGGGTGAGCTTCTTAGTCAAAACAAAACAGTTCAACCTGTAGGAGCTCTTCAATCGGTCGAAGGGTAACGTGACTACTTAAGGCTAGCAATGAAACATGGTTACACATTTTTGGGAAGGAAAAACTATTCAAATATTGCACTGAGTTGGCCACTTTAACCATAATGAATTTTCTAGCCATTTTCGGTATAAAAACAAAACCTAAGAAAATGAAGGGTCACTTTGAGGTCTGAAATTGCTCAAACAATGGTGTGACAGAAAGGTTGACACAAAAGTAGTGATTTGGTTCAAGGGCACAAAGAAGGATGTAAAGATCCAACAAATTTTGCAACCTAACCATAGATGCTTCTTTTGCTCAAAGGAGGCAAACTCAACCTATGGGAGGCAAAGGGCAACCGGATCTACAGACCCACACAAATAAGCAAGAAATGAACTCTACGATAACATAAAACCACAGGCAAGCAACCATAATTCAACTCAAATAGATAAAATTCAAAAATTATCTGACGCAATCTCTTTGATCCCTTGCATATCTAACCAAAATTTTTTGAGAATCCAACTACAAAATGGAAACTTAATAACATAACACCGATATGAAAGTATTAATGAAAATGAGAAGTTCTGATACAGGCAAAGCACCAGATGAAAGTCTCTTAGTCGAAAAGGCTGAATCCCATATCCTGCAACAAGAAATTTAAGTATAGACATTCAAAACAGCAACATTGTAATTAGATCATGCAAACTTGCAAACAAAGAAGCAATATAGGCACAAACTACAGCAGAATTTTAAACAGAACTTACATCATCTGTGTCTTCCTTCTCTTCGACCTTCTCTTCCTTCTTCTGCTCAGCAGCGGCAGGAGCTGCAGCACCAGCATCAGCCGCAGGTGCTGAATAAGCAACTGCACCACCACCAGATGGAACAGACGCCAACTTCTCCCTTCCAGAAGCAATTAGTTCTGTAATATCTTTGCCCTTGACTTCAGACAACAGCAACTCAATCCTGTCACCATCGGCCTCAGCTCCAACTGTAAACAAACCAAAACTTAATTTAATGTGCAAGTGCAAAAATGTTGGCGCAACAAATAATTATGCACCGGTTTTGTTCTTAAAAATTCCTATGGACAACAGGATGTTAAGCATCTTTTTGTGCAACCATTACTTGACTTTACACAAAATGTTAAATGTATCACATATGAGGTTCTTCTGTACTAGTTAAACAGGAAACCATGAGCTTTTTGAATTTTGGACTAATGAATGACCAGATGTCAATGAAAAATCATCTCCATTTCGATGATATAGAAAATTCAATTATAAACAGGCCTATAGATTGTAAGAATACTGCCACAATGCCAACCCAAGAGAAAATTAACAAGGACTAACAGAGGGACAGAGTATTGCACAATATTCAAAGGAGCGAGAGCGCAAGACTCTAACTCCTTCCTTAGATGTCAGGTGCTCTAGCACTGGAGCTGCCCCCATCAAAATTAGATAATTAAACCATCTCAATCTGAGAGACCCTAA